TGCAGCTGCACTTACATTTCACTTATTGAACGTTAACGTTGTTAAAGTTGTTACAGTACAACTGCTACACACAAAGACACAATCTTAATTATCCTTTCAGGAAGATCATTGGTCTGGTTTCCCATTTGATGAACGCGTACTGTTTCCTCCAATTCTTTGATGGTCTTGTGGTGAGTCTAACAGCCAGCAAAATGTATTTGCAGTAGAATGCAAAATATATTTGCAGTAGAATGCCAAAATTAAGACATATATCTCAAATAAAAAGGTTTTCCCCATTCTAGTGTGTGTGCACAGGCATCTTCTTGGGCACGGGCAAACAGAAGATACCGGCTGTGGCCAATTTCATTGGATACTACTGCATAGGACTTTCAATGAGCATAGTTTTAACGTTTGTTGCCAAACTGAGAATTTTGGGTAATTACATGAAGTGACCATGTTTTTCTACTTTCATAGACATTCGAGACAAATAAATGACTGCCCAGGATGAAGCAAGTTCTTATAAGTGAGGCCTGCTGTGTCTTTGACAGACTAATTTGTCTTTTTCTCTGCAGGTTTTTGGCTGGGGCTGCTCATTTGTGTCGTCTTGCAATCCATCTTCTACATCACTGTCATCTTCAAGCTCAACTGGAGGAGAATGACGGAAGAGGTATGCCGCTGGCCAATGAAACAATCAGGATCATTCAGGGCCTCAGCTGTTTCGATATACTGGCAGAATCTGCTTCATTTATACAGGATCGGCTGCTCAGGCAAATCTGGCAAATTGCTGTACCTATTTGTCGGGTTTTTGTTTCTGCTTGTTTGCAGGCTGTGAAACGAGCTCAGAAAAAGACAGACATATTATTACGCAAAGCTGCCCTGTCAGACGACCAGACAGCAAGTAATGGGAACGTAAGTGGCTTGTTATTCTTAACACTAACAGCCTAGATAACAACCGAGCTAGTTTCACACTGTTATCAATGGACTTTTCTCATTTGTTTTAAATGTAATATTCTATATCAGTCCAAGAAACCAAATATCTGACAACTTTTTTTTTTTAGGTTTACTGCACTTGTTCTCCATATGACTCAACAAAATAAATGAATATGATACTTTCTCCTTCAAGTCAGTGGAAAGCTACATATCTGTGGGCACTGAGTGCCATGATGGGAACACGGAGAGACAGGATGGACATGTGGTCCAGCTGAAGGGTGTCCGTCTCTCCACTACCCAGCTGATCCTCAGGCGAGGCCTCACTGTGTTTGCAGCAGTTGCACTTCTGGCTATGGGAGCGACTGTGCACTTCCTTGTGCCCTTACCAGAGACCCGGCCTTCGGAGGCCAACTTTACTTTGGACTGGATCAACACGACATATAATCCCGATCAAATTTTCTCCACTGCACTGGTCCCAATTAACAGATGAGCTCCTTGATCATTCAGTTGTTGTTTGTGCTCATGGACTTGTTATCTTTGACAGGAAGTGCCTAAAACACTGGCAGATTTGATGAAAAATTAAGTGAATTAACGGTTGAACTAACATTTAGCTATAAGAGATTCATTCTTTGTTTGATCATAAACAATTACATTTTTTAATGGTTCTTCTGCTTTTTCTCTCATCTGCACTTGTTTCATGTCAACCTGTGATGCAGCTCTGAATGATAAATGCTTCAGAGAATTTTCTTTCCCCCTGAATCTTTAGAGCATTTGTAAGTGTAACCCTCGTCTGATGTCAAAATAAATAATGGTGTTTGTAGAAATATCTGTCGAAGTTCTATTTAGTTGAATAAGAATATTAACAGTACGCTATCTTTTCTTATCTAGCATGTAAGGGTTCACATTGTCATGCTAAATGCTTATATGCTACTTACAGTGGCTGTAAATGCTTGTATGCAACGCAAACAGCTTAGGATTTATTAGAAAAATAGTCCTCACACACTACAAAGAGTGCACATTCACTTTACTACATTAAAACTCAAACAAGTTAAGTATAATGCAGACTATTAGTCAACATAAACAGAATACAAAAATTGTCAGAATATGTGCTTTTGCATTACTAAAATGAATTGACTGTTAAAGTCTCCCACAAACATATTTGTTTATTGAAATTATAAAAACTGTCATGTCCTTCCTATCCTTCCCTCCCTTCAGCCACATTTCCATCTCCTCAAACTAATTATTTGTCATACTCTTGTCCACCAGGTGCCCTCTGACCTTTTTCTCCTGTCTCCTGCACACCCTGTGCTTCCACTTTCCTTTTTCACTCACACCTGTTTGCCATTACTTGTCCTGTCATGCTGTTACCTGGCAGTTGGACTGCCTTTGATGTTGACCCTTGCCTGCTTTGTTACTGCATGAGTTTATGTATCTTCTCCATTTAATCACTGAACTGACTAACTAACTGTATGTTGTTTCAACAATGAATCCTTGAACGCTTCCACTCAAGTTCATATAAGGGTGGGTGTACTGTATGTTGATGGTTACTTTCCCAATGGTCCCTGTTGGTCCAATACTTAACAAATCCATCAATACACAGTCTCAAAGTTCATGTTTCCATAAATGTTTTTCACAATCGCTATCCACTCTACTTTTGCCTCTTTGACTCTTTCCTTGAGCAATGAGTTTGATTAACGTAGAAACATTATTTTTAAGTTTAAAACATAGACAAAATGCTGGACTATATTGAGCCAAAATGGGCATTTTAATAGCTAGCACGGTTTTCATTAAGTCACAGATTAAGTTTCAGGAAAATAGGTCTGTTTCAGATTTTATAATGGGTGTGTATTGCACAGAATGTTCAGCGCTAGAGTGATGACATCACGGTCAGAGTGGAGCAGAGCATGAAAAGTATTCTGTGATTTTTCAAAACAAATTGCTCCCAGTCCCACAGTTTTCACTCTTTATACACCATTTTTGGTCAAAAAGATAAGACATTTTGTGCTGGTCGCACGCATGTGTCTGTGTAATCCAAAAGACTTACACATTTGACTCAAAGAGCCACAGAGCGAAGGAGTTCAAGTATCTCGGGGTCTTGTTCACGAGTGAGGGTAAGATGGAGCGGGAGATCGACAGACGGATCGGTGCGGCTGCAGCAGTAAAGTAGGCGCTGCACCGGACCGTCTTGGTGAAGAGGGAGCTGAGCCGGAAGGCAAAGCTCTCAATTTACCACTCGGTCTACGTTCCTACCCTCACCTATGGTCACGAACTCTGGGTTGTGACCGAAAGGACAAGGTCGCGGCTACAAGCGGCCGAAATGAGCTTCCTCCGTAGGGTGGCCGGGCTCAGCCTTAGAGATAGGGTAAGGAGCTCGGTCATCAGGAGGGAGCTTGGAGTAGAGCCGCTACTCCTTCGTGTCGAAAGGAGTCAGCTGAGGTGGTTCGGGCATCTAATTAGGATGCCTCCTGGACGCCTCCCACTGGAGGTTTTCCAGGCACGTCCAACTGGGAAGAGACCCCGGGGAAGACCCAGAACACGCTGGAGAGATTACATCTCCCAGCTGGCCTGGGAACGCCTCGGGATCCCCCAGAATGAGCTGGAACATGTTGCCGGTGAGAGGGAGGTCTGGGTCGGCCTGCTTGACCTGCTGCCACCGCGACCCGACCCCGGATAAGCGGTGGAAAATGGATGGATGGATGGATGGAGCCACAGAGCAACATGAACTCCAACTAACTGCTCCATTAGACTCCATTATAAATCTGACCACTAATTTCTCAAAGAAAGTAGACGGTACCAGTTTTGTATATTGCTCCAGTGATATACATGCACAGGTGTTTGATATGAGCTCATTAGTGCAGTTTTTATGTTTCTACTTCTGGCAAATAGGTTGAATGTTCCAAAATATGTGAAAAAGATGAATTATTGCATCCTCCATTAACTCCCATTTGTAAATGTTTTGTCTTTGGAGTAATGGAGGCACAATGTAATGAAGACGTTGGCTCTGGTTTATGCTCTTAGATGCTTGTTTGAAGAGAGGAGATGCACTTACGACTTCTGGTGACTAGTAGTTCTCTCGAAAACCAATGTTGAATACACTTATTGTAAGTCGCTTTGGATAAAAGCGTCTGCTAAATGACTGTAATGTAATGTAATGTAATGTAAAGACCCTCTCCATTACAAGCATATGTGGACTGTTTCAAGGAAATAAGAGACACACACACTAAAGGTTGAATGTTTTATTGTACTGTTGGGTTTCTGGTGGATGTTATGTTCTCAGGTATACAGTAGTTATTGAAGGTCGGGCCTGTAGATACAAACATATTAGTTTGGTTATCTTTACCAAAAGGATTGAGTATAACCTGTTGCTTAATAGTGCTGTCAAATAACATGTATATTCAAATCACTTACCTCTGCTGGGTCTCCTCTCCAGGGTGTTTGGCCTAGTCCCCAGGGTACATGAGCACCATTTTATAGTTCCGGGAGGTACCATTTATTAATTAGTAGAGGGTAGTAAAACTGAATTACCTGTTCGGGCTTTATGTGATCTCTATTGTGATGTGTAACCACAATAGAGATCATACAGATAATTGACATTAGGATGTTAGGAATCCATTTTAATGTAGTTGTTATAGTTTAGGTAATTGTGTTGTCAGGTAAGGGGCATAGTTACCTATATTGTAGTGGGGTTGAGGTCCTCGTCAGTGGCAGGCTATATAAGGCTGCCATATTAAATCTAATCTGGTGCTGCCAGGACCACATGGTCCACCATGTAATGAGCTGTGCCATGCATTTGTTATTACTGTCGGTTTGCACCTAATATCTGTGTCAGTCCTCCTGCTTCCAAAGTCCAGCCGCTGCGTGGGCAGACAAACTACTCATTGAATCCATAATAACCAGATCTGTAGGTTGTGATTGTGTTTTCAATATTAAACCACTCAAGATCAGAACATTCTTGCTTTTAAGTCATCCAATTTAGTCTTTGTTGTGATTGTAAGCTTTTTTTCCTTCTTGTTTTTCCACCATCTTCGTTGTTTCAGCTGGCCTTGGCTTCATTCCAGGGCAGCTGAGCAAATATTTCTATCCGGTCCAACATTATCTCCGAGACCGTGAGATAAAAGACCGATACTCCTGCAGAAGGATCTGCTTTAACATTTTGTGCTGCAGACATGGAGGGTTTCAGCGACAAGCTTTTCTGCTGCAGGTGGGTGCGCCACAGAGTTCCCCTGGCCCACAGAGAGGAACTGTACCACATCCTGAGGATGACCGGCCCTCTGGTAAGGATTGACACTGTTTACATACCTTCTTCTGTCTGTTAGGAATTGTGTGGATTGAGGCTGTCCTTGATGAAAACCTGATTTGTACAACAGAAGATTGATGGCGAAAAGAAAAGGTTAGGATGCCAGGTACTTTTGTGTCTGTGACATCACAGCAGAAATCATTAGACCTAAGACAACGTATGGCAGGTAGTCATGACTGTGTGATGGCTGATTTGCAAAGAGAGCCCTGCTTATTAATTGCGACT